TTTAGAAACAAATATTGAGTTATCAGGTAAATGTAAGTATTTAAAGTGTGAGATCTACAGGAGGGGTGTCGAAAAATTTGGTTTTTTGATAAGCGTCATAAGTAAACGGCCCTTTGTCTACTAAACTTACATTTACTTATATTGACCAAATCTCCAATTTAAACATTCCAATTCACACGACTCAAATCATTTATTAAGACCACCAAACAGTCTAAACACAGCCAGTTGACAAAAATATTCACAAGAAATCAAATGGTCAATTTAAAGCAAAGAAGGGGAAAATTTAACGACATTATAAAAGACATAGAGCTTCCTTTTATTATAAAAAAATAAATATATTTATGCATCATTACAACTTCCCTCGCATCAACCATCTTTACAATTAGTTAATTAAGTCTCTGAATGACGGTCACTTTATATTGGAATCGCTTATGAGATGAGAAGTAAATTATAAATAAAAAAATATATTTTTAATAGTCTTAAGCGTATTTGAGGCAGCTCATAACACCATTTTATGTTTTAAAAAGAATATTTTCAGTTTAAAGACAATAGTCATTATGATTATGGTGAGCAGCGAGTTGAGAGGATGGATATAAAAATTCAAAATTAATGATGGAATATGAAGGCTTTAAACATTTATTTATTCTTTCCATCTTTACTTCATTCATGTTTATTCATAAATAAAATAAGAAGATGCTGAATGCGAAGAAATGAAGAAAATATAATGAAAGAATCAATTTTGAGCATCGTTAGCGCACCTCTTTCGATATTAGAATGATTATGGGATTTTTTTTTATTCAATGAATTTTTATTTTTATGTCTGCTGATAGTGGAATGGTGGGAATGAGGTAGTTATGATTGTTGGCTGTGAATGAAGATATTTGATTATTGAAAAAGAGAATTTTTAAAGGAAGTTGTTAAATTCTCGATTCTAAAATTAAGCATTTCGTTGAGGTTTGGTCAGTGGTTCTCAAACTATGGTCCACGGAACATCACTGAATTGCAAGAAGATCTTAGGTGTGTCAATAGTGATTGCCCGTTTGACACGAAAAGGTTGATGGAAAATTGATTGCTTAATGACCTAAAAAGTTTGAGAAACACTGCCTTATGTTTTTGATACTCCTTTAACCAATTCACTGTCCAAACCTTCTTAAAGAAGCCAAAAAAAGTTGAATGCAGTATGAATTTTGCTTGTTCATTTTAAATCCAGTTCTTCTAAACCTTGACAATTCGATCTATGCATTACCTTTACTATATTCAAGTACAATGTTAAATTATCAGTGCAACAATCTGTGCCTCATTTTAATTGATTAATGTAAGACTTAATGAAGCAATTCGCATGGTCAATAACTTACTTTATCCCCAATTCAGTAGCTTATAAAATCGGATCGTGAAATTAAATTGTTAATTATTGGCGGTATGTCTCTGCAGTTCCTTAAAAGACAATACATGTACCAATCTACTCTAAAGTTTATCGCCATTATTCATTCAATTTAATTGGTTAATTTTAACTTTACTTACAGTTTTGTGAAATTCGGTTAAATTTGAGTACACCATAGTGTAGGATGTGGATATTTATGGTGCTGTAAATAAGTTCAATGGATAAATTATTGAGTTTTTTTTGTTTTAATTAAATTAATAAGAATTTTTTTATAGTTTTAAAATTCATAAAAAAAATCCCATAAATCAATTTTAATGCAAGCACCACATCTAATTCTAGGTCAAGTCATGTAATTTCAAATAAAAATCAAAAAGCTCCATAATAAAAAATTTATTCATAACAACCATCTTAAATCCACACAATATGGCCAATTGAATAAATTTTGAACGTAAAAATAAGTTTAATTTAATTTACACTGTCCATTTCAATATATTTCATTATACAAAAGCAGTAATAATAATCAATAAAAAGAGCCAAAAAGAAACTCAGCATCCAGCAGAAGTGAAAAATAATAAAAAATGAAATTTTTTTGTGTGTGTACATATAGTGTAATAAAGAACATTTATTACTTAAATTTTATTGCCGAGTTTTTAATTTTAAAACAGTGATTTAGATAAGCCAAGCGATTTTTTTTTCTCATTTCTTCTTGGCTTCCTTTTCGAGGGCGAGAAGTTGAAAAGCTTGAAATGATTAAAAGTTAAAGGTTCGAGCGCATTCAAAAAAAAAAAATAGCAAAGATCTACAACAATATTTTTTTTTGAAAACCACTGGGACTCGAACCCCCCATGAAGTCGTGTCATAATTTTAATTCAACCTTTTCATTTCATAATTTTAAATGAATTTAGCAAAATGTTCATAATAGTTTTTTTGGAATCTAGTATAATCGAATCAAATCTAGTCTGATATAGTTTAATTTTAGTCTAATACCGCCTAATCTAGTCTAATTTTAGTCTAATCAAGTCTGATTTAGTGTTATTTTAGTTTAATCTAGTATAATCTTGTTTTAATTTGGTCTAATCTAGTCGAATCTAGTCTAATCTAGTCTATTCTAGTCTAATTTTAGTTTAATCTAGTCTAAACTAGTCTAATTTAGTGTTATTTTAGTTTAATCTAGTCTAATCAAGTGCAATCTAGTCTATTCTAGTCTAATCTAGTATAATCTAGTATAATTTAGTCTAATAGAGTTTAATCTAGTCTAATGTACTTTAATCTAGTCTAATCTAGTCTAATAGAGTTTAATCTAGTCTAATGTACTTTAATCTAGTCTATTCTAGTTTAATCTAGTTTAATAAAGTATAATCTAGTCTAATTTTAGTTTAATCTATTCTAATCTAGTCTAATCAAGTGCAATCTAGTCTATTCTAGTCTAATCTAGTATAATCTAGTATAATTTAGTCTAATAGAGTTTAATCTAGTCTAATGTACTTTAATCTAGTCTAATCTAGTCTAATAGAGTTTAATCTAGTCGTATGTACTTTAATCTAGTCTATTCTAGTTTAAACTAGTTTAATAAAGTATAATCTAGTCTAATTTTAGTTTAATCTATTCTAATCTAGTCTAATTTAGTGTTATTTTAGTTTAATCTAGTCTAATCTAGTCTATTCTAGTCTATTCTAGTCTAATCTAGTCTAATTTTGTCTAATCTGGTTTTGACTAGTCATAAGACTGCCATTCCAAATTGGACAAACCAAGCATTCTTCAGCATCGCATTTAACAGCCTCAAACGCACTCAAAACAATATTTTCTCTTTCTTCCCATTTTCATTCTTTTATATCTCAATGAAATTGGCTTTTTTTTTTGTTATTTCAAGTTTTGCCGGTATATGGAGAAGCCTAGCAGTAGAAGCCAAGCACTAAGCAAGTATGAGTAGAGATAGTAGAAGACGTTAAAAAGAACCAAGAGAATGAGCAGTCAAAGCCATGGAAGTAATGGCGTTAAATATTGTTATAACTCTCTGTATGGAAGCAATGTGCGGCAATATGATTAGCTGTTGGAAATCTGCCCATTTAGAGAGTAATTTTCGATAAGCCCATATTATGATTATGATTATTTCTTTATTTTTACTGTGTGAATCTCATCCGGAGAGGCTGTTGAGGAACGTAAATTTCTTAATTTCGCTGATGGAAATAAATTAAGTAAGCCAATTAGCATTTCACTCACTTGAATAATTTCAATCATCCAAATTCGGAAATGAGACGTAGAAGAGACGCAATAAAGATGACAATGGGGAAGGTCTCAAGCTATTATGATGGAATTATATGGGTTGTTTACCTAAACATCTATAACATATAAATTCCATCACAATTCATAAAGATATTACCGTTTCAATGGATTGTATGTGACATAAAAGGAACAAAAGATGAAAAAAAAAATATCAAATATTAATTCCTCACAATTATTGTCATAAATGCTCTAGAAAATCATGTTATTTCATATTGTGTCAACCGATGAGGACAAATGAATTTCTTTTAGCTGGTATTTTGAGGTACTGAGCATTTAAAAGACTGATGGTTTGGTTCATCTGAAAAAAAAAAGTTTTTGCTCAAAATTAGTAAGGAATGATTGAATTTTGAAAGATTTGAACCTTTGAATTGTTTGAATCATATTTTTAAATTCATAAATTCAAGAAGGGTCCGTTCACTAATGACGTTCAGTTGGGTGGGGGGGAGGTTGGAAAGGGGGGTCAGCAAAAAAATAACAATAGAAATTCCCGGAAAGGGGCCGTTCACTTATGTTGTCCGACATTTAAGGGGGGTCTAGGATTTTGTGACAGTTCAAACAATAGAATTTTTTTTCTATAGAATTTTTGTGACAGAGGGGGGGGGGGGGGGGGTCTGAAAATCAGGTTTTTTGATGGACGTCATAAGTGAACGACCCCAAATCCATTGTTCTTTTTTGAGAAATGACCAATAATTTTGGACGTCATAAGTGAACGACCCCTTACTAAACTTAAGAATTCTCCACTTTTTACTCAATTAACTTCTCAAAGTGCAATCAACATTTACCCAGAACCCTATAAATCTCCCAATGCGCTCTAACTCTTCATCCACAAAATACTTCTTGTACCAATTTTTAATGCTTTGCGGCAATTTTACTTCTCTTTTCTTTCTTCAATTGATCCTCAAAGTAAGTACAGAAAAAAATGTTTTAATAACAAAAGAAATGTCTCAATTGAAAGGAGAAAGAGGGAAAAGCAAGAGAATAAAAAGGCGGCAGGCAAAGCAATTTCTTTCTTTTTTTATGTTTTACTGCTCGTGAGTGGGCAAATAATGCCATTTTTATAGAGAAATGGATGTAATTTATATCATTATTATTATTTTGATAAATGTCACTGCTGTATAATAAATAATGAGAGATATTAATTTCTAATAATTTTTTTCTCTCTTGTTCCTTCCTTTTTTTGTGGTGAAATATAATCGATATATTGAATTTCATATACGCGACATATATTTTTTATGTCATTTGAACAATAATTGTATGGAATAAATGTCACTAGATCATGCTGTGATTTTGTTTGACTGACATCTTGAACTATTTATTATAATATTATCTTGTTCAGACAGCGACGTAGCAACTGTAAAATGACCAAGAACTTATCCATAACATCAAATCCACAAGAACCTTATCCAAGTACATACACAAACATTGCAGAATAACTTGAATCATGAAACATCAAAAGAAACAAATTCAACTCAAAATCCAACGTTCGATTCCTTCAAACTTTAAAATCTTCTCTATATCTAATCAGCAAACCAAACAGAACATTCATTCATCATTAATCCAAACCATTTCTAGACAAATTGTCTACCGAGAAAAAAAAAATCCGATCCAACTCATCTTCTTTGCCTTTCCCTTTTCCATCACTTCTGATTTAAAAGCACAAAAAAAGAATGAAGAATTATGAGGAAGGTAATAGAGTGTATGATGAAACTGATGACATGTATTAGCATCAAATCTCTCATTTATCAAAATAAATGCGTCAAATTTTTATTTTGAGTTAGGGATTGTATTATTAATGGATTGTCTTGACTGTGTAAGTCTCAAAGCTAAGAAGGTTTCCTTGCAGCGCAAAACCTCATAATGAAATAAATTGTCCGCACTGCTTTTAAATGTTTTTGATGAAAAATTAAGCACACAAAAATACGTCAAAGAAAAGAAAGAAAAAAAAATTAAAATTAATGATTTATTTACAGCCTTAGTGCCATCCGTATTAGTAAATTGCATTAGATTATTAAAATTTCATAATGTAGAGTAAGTAATTGAGGGCCATGCGACAGATTATATTATATTGTATGCATAAAGGCGACAACAAAATAAAGAGAGGAAGGAAGGACTTCTTAAATTGTAATTTCAATTTTTTAAAGCATGTGGACGTTCATTGGAGTGTGACAAATTATTTAACAAATAAAGTAGCAAAAAGCAGTTGTTACTTGTCGGAGATTATCAGAGTAAAAAAAAATATATTTTATTGTGATTGAGATTTTAGGGGTTATGGTCGGGATGAGGGATGGATCGGTGAGGGGTCGTTCACTTATGACGTCCGAAATTAACGTTCATTTTTTCAAAAAAGAACAATGGATTTCCAGGAATTTCTATTGTTCTTTTCTTGCTGATCCCGCCCTCTTGGACGTAATAAGTGAACGACCCCTAAGCTGTCTGGTGTTTTTGAGCAAAAAACGAAAATTAAAAAAAATACAAAACGGATAAGTAAATTAAGATCAAGTTAGAAGGAATCGAACCTTGTAATTTTGAATGATTTAAAATCTAAACTTTCTTGATTTTATTTGATGAATTAATAATTGACTCAAAGTCGTTCATCTAACATCCAAAATGTGTTAAGCGTAAACATTCAGTGACTATTGACACCTATTAGGCTCCAGTGGTGACATAAGGAACATTAGTGTCTTGTAACATATCAACATTTGCATATCATTGCATTGAGATGTTCCTTAATTTATAAACCATATTTAGAGACACTATGACCAATTTTACCTCTTGCTGTTCATCGTCTAATGATTCAAAGGTATCCCCTTGATAGCAAAAGAAAGCTTACCAGATCCAAATTGACAAAGTATTCTTTTCCCGGTCTATAACATTCCCTAACCTCAAAAAAGTGCATATTGTATCATTCCTCTCGTCTCATACACATTACATCTACATTAGATCAATCACCAAACAAAGTGAGATACGATCTCTCACAAAAAAAAATATAAATGTGACACAACAAAAATATGTCATAAAGCATAAAAGGAATTCTATTCACTCATGTGTACATTAAAATGCAATCAAAACATTTGTTATTTTTTAATAAACTGTCTCTTTCTTGCTTTCCTTTTTTTTAAGGCTTGATACAATTTTTATTCTGCCTAGAAATTATTCATTCATGCGTGATAATTTTTATATAATTTTATTTCATCATCCTTTTGTCAATATTAATATAAGCAGGATCTTTTTTTTTGACTGGTATTCGGAGTGAATAATGGAAGTTTTTAAAGTAAATAAAAAAAAATAATATTTTTATAGGAAGAGGACATATTTTTCAAGTCTGTGCAGTTTATGAGGTAGAATTATGCTTCCATTGTGATGTGCAACGACAGGGAAATGTAAACATGTTTTATGTCAATTAAAGTGAAATTCAATTGATGATTATGGATATGAAAAATATGTTGTTTTGTTCTTTGGATGCTTGATAATTGAATGATGAGTTTTGGGAAGGCTAAGGAATATTTAAAAAAATTTATGTTGATGCTGAATTATTGGAAGTTTCTGGTATCAAGGGGAGCAGGTTTGGATGAATTATTGGACTAAATTGGATGAAATATCTTTAAAATTTGAAGAACCTTTTTCATATTAAATAATATTTCACTTTAACCTACAAAAAAATATCAAAATCTTTGGCTGCTATCCTGGCAATCAGCAAGCTCAAATCTCGATTTTTGTAAAAAAAAGCTATTAAATCAATCAAAAATTCAAGTTAAACTTTTGCTGAATTTATTAAAAAATTAAAAAGTATTCATTAAAAAAGTGGAAATGAAAGGTTCATGAGATGATAGGTTCAAATCCTTACGAAACAATTTTAAAAACATTTTATCGCAATAACAGTTTAACGCTTCTTGATTTATTTTTACTGCAATTCCATATTTTTGCATACATTCCCTTCATCCATATTTTTTACCTCTTCATCTTTTTATTTCATACACAAATATACATTTTGATCATAATCCGGTTAGTAATCTTCATCAGCTTGTATAAGTCTGTGTGCAAAATGACAATGGAAATGGAAGAATAAATGCAGTGGAAGTAATTCAGATGACAATTTTTTTAATATTTTATTTTAGAGTCTTTTTTGATTCATGTTGGTATGTCTATAGATTAGTTGTAAATATGAGTGAATGTGGAGTCACATACTGGTTTTTAACAGAGGGACCTGAATATGGGATTTCAGGGTTTTACGTAAATTAGAAGAAAGTTTCTCAAATTTATGATCACCAGTAATAATAATAATAATATGTGAAAAACCCAGCCTTTCAGCTAGAAGCACTGCGATTCAATTTGTAAAGAATCTATTGTACCATACCCTTTAGACATACATTTTATAGTGGGATCCGAACCACTTGCAAGCTCTGCACATTGCAAAGACACGAGTACGTCATAAGACCTGATGTACCCTGCAATGTACATACCTAGTCACAATTCGTGTGCGCAAGATGCCGTAAAGAAGTCATCCAGATGCTAGTATATCCTTGTATACCTAGTAAAGGAGGCATATTCCAAGCCAAAGACATCAATATTACACCCAACACACGAACCGAGCTTCGTAACTGGAACGGTGAAATGGAAAAAGAGCTTCGAAAATTAGACATGGTCTGGGATTGAACCCAGGACCTTTGGCACGACGATCTACCATTTAGGTAGAGCTCTACCATTTAGACCACTGATGCCATTCCACCGCCAGTGCTCGTTCCACTATTTAAAAATCAACAAATACATTCCAGCAATTCAAATTCACCCTACACGAGCGCCATAATATCACTTTACACATTGAATTAATGATGACTTATAAATTCATTAAAATCAATAAACAACAAAAAGCTAATGTTAAAAAAATTGTTATTAAACAATCCAAAGTAATTATGATATTACAAAAGAGCACACAGCAAACACTAATCACAATTGGACGAACTATCAAATGAACATATTAACATTTGTGACTCTATATTCATTTTGTGAATCCATAAATGTGCCAAATGACTCTATTTGGCTCTTTTTTTTGAAATTTGATATATTTTTATTTTAATTTGCTTATATTTGATATTTATATGTGCGAATGGATGGATGGATGGACGATTGAGGAAGAAGTAAATTATAAAAGAGACGTGGCTTTGAGCTATTCGAAATTATTTTGGTTTTATGCTATAAAATTTCATTAGGATATCATAAAGATTAGAATGGATAAATATCATTGGCAAATAACAGTAATAAAGCTATTGATATTATATTTTGTGGCGGTTCCAGTTGAGAGGTGAATTTTGAATAAGGTTTCGTCTGTTTTGACAATTTAGTGGTTTTGTGCCTCGATACGAATCTTATAGAATCTTAATTCGAAGACTTTAAGCAATAATGTCTTCAAGGAAGTGGTTCGAAACTCACTACGAAATAAGGAGATCAGAGTTTGAATCCCGACCAGTGTAGATCTAGGTTTGAATCAATAACTCTAGTACTTCAGCTTGTTAGCCACTTACAGCCTAACCCTAATCATATCGATATCCAAAACCTATTAAACCGTCTAAGCCTCTCAATCATCATCAAGTCGGAACCCCCATAAACAAAACATGAATAATGTACATTATGGCGTCTTATAGCAATCTATACTAATACATAATGAAATAATTTTTTCTAATTATATTACATACATCAATCGCTACAATTCAACAATACAGCACGATTTAACTGCAAGGTCTAAAGCAATTTACCAATTTAAAATGTCGAAGAAATTGAGAATATGAAATTTGCATGACACATCGCACATATGCAATAATATCCAGCAATTTAATATCGAAAGTGAATGTATTGCGGAGGAAAAAAAAAGAATTTATCGAGCACGATCGGATGTCTCATATTTATTTCAAAATGTGCTGGACTGACAATTATTGCATGCAAAAATTCATAATGAAAAAAAAAAATCACTTTGGGGCTCAATGTGAGAAGAGGCTCAAAATGATTTTTATTTTATTGCATGTGGCAAGCGAGAATGAGACCTAAAGTCAAAGAGATAATAAAATGAAGGAAGTTGATATAAAAAATTGCTCTCATAATCATACAATATCGGACCAGGCACAACACGACGACGTCTTTCATATATTCACATCAATAAAATGATTTTAGCACGCAACCACTTTTAATATTATTTATATCCAACTCATATCCAACTCGACTTGATGATGAATAACATGAAAGATACATTTCATTATAATCGTCGATACCATCGTCGTCATCATCATCGGTCGTTGTTGGTCATTATCATTAAATATATTGAGTGAGTGGGCAGTCAAGGTATTTTAAGTTAATAATCAAGCATGTAAGTTGAATGTGAATAATAAAGTAGACAAGAAATGAGGAAAAAATATTGATTTTATTATTAAGGTTTTGTATCTTG